CCCAGGAATTCCTGGGGGGGAAAAAAGAAAAAAAATGGAATTTCTTTTGGAATTTTTCTTTGGGAATTCCCAGGAGGGAAAAAAAAAAAAAAAAAAAAAAAAAAGAGGGAATTTTGTTGGATTTTTTGGGGGGCAATTCCTGGGAAAAAGGAAATAATTCTGTTGGATTTTTTTTTTTTTTTTTCCTGAGAATTCCCAGCAAAAAGAGGAAATTTCACTGAATTTTTTTTTTTGGGGGGGGGAGGGGGGGAAATCCCCCCCCAAAAAAAAAACCCCAGAAATTTTGTCCAATCCTTTTGGGAATTTTTTTTTCCTACCAAATCTCCACAGTTTTGCTGTGATCCCATATATTTATATATAAATTTTTTTTCCCCCCGGGTGGATTTTTGGGAATTTTCCCCCTTTTCCCTCAGGAATGGTTGGGGACAAGGCTGGGATTTGTCCCCCTCACCTGGCTGAGGGTTTTCCAGGATTTCCTGTGGCTGTGGATCCCCCTTTTCCCGATGTTTTCCTGCTGTTTTCCCCTCGTTTTTCCCGGTTTTTTTCCCGCTGTTTTTCCCTCCCCTCTCGGAGCGTTCGGTGCCGTTGTGTCCCCTGTGAAACGGGAGAATTCCCGAGGTTTTTGTGGATTTTAAAGGACTCATCCCGAGCTTATCCCGACTCTCTCATCCTTGGAAAAGCCCCAAAATCCCAAATTCTTGATTTTTTTTTTTTTTTTTTTTTTGGGGGGGGGGGAGTTTTTCCATCCCAATCCTGCTGCTGACGTGGCTGGAGTTTGGGATTTTCCTGCAAAAAAAAAAAATTCCCGGGGGAAATCTTGGAATTCGGGGTTCTGCTGGAGGGAATGATGGGTGTGGGGTTGGTTTTTCTGGGAATTGGGGGTTTGGGAAGAGCCAGGATGGGTTGGGATGGGAGAATTCCTGCCAGGAATGGGAAAATTCCTGCCAGGAATGGGAAAATTCCTTCAGGAATGGGGAAATTCCTGCCAGGAATGGGAAAATTCCTGCCAGGAATGGGGAAATTCCTTCAGGAATGGGAAAATTCCTGCCAGGAATGGAGAAATTCCTTCAGGAATGGGAAAATTCCTGCCAGGAATGGGAAAATTCCTTCAGGAATGGGGAAATTCCTGCCAGGAATGGGAAAATTCCTTCAGGAATGGGGAAATTCCTTCTGGAATGGGAAAATTCCTGCCAGGAATGGGAAAATTCCTGCCAGGAATGGGAAAATTCCTTCAGGAATGGGAAAATTCCTGCCAGGAATGGGAAAATTCCTGCCAGGAATGGGAAAATTCCTTCTGGGATTGGGGAATTTCTTTCAGGAATGGGAAAATTCCTGCCAGGAATGGAGAAATTCCTTCAGGAATGAGGAAATTCCTGCCAGGAATGGAGAAATTCCTTCAGGAAATGGGGAAATTTTTGCCAGAAATGGGAAAATTCCTTTTAGAATGGGAAAATTCCTGCCCGGAATGGGGAAAATCCTGCCAGGAATGGAAAAATTCCTTCAGGAATGGGAAAACTCCTGCCAGGAATGGGGAATTTCCTTCTGGAATGGGGAAATTTTTGCCAGGAATGGGAAAATTCTTGACAGGGATGGGGAGATTCCTTCAGTAATGGGGAAAATTCCTTGAGGAATGGGGAAATTCCACCCAGGAATGGAAAAGGGATGGAAAAAAATGGAACAATGATGGAAAAGAGATGGAAGAAGGGACGGGGGAAAAAATGGAAATGGGATGGAAAAAATAAGGGGAAAGAGACAAAAAAGAAATGGGAAAAATGAAAAAAGTGGGGAAAAAAGGAAAAAGAGGGGAAAGGGGAGGAAAAAAGATGGAAAAAGGGGGTGGGAAAAGGGATTTGAGGACCCTGTGACAGGATTAGGGGACTCTGAGGGAATTTGGGGACGCTGTGAGGGAATTTGCAGACACTTTGAGGGGATTTGGGGACACTGAGGAGATTTAGGAACACGGTGAGGGGATTTGGGGACACTTTGAGGGGATTTGGGGACCCTGAGGGGATTTGTGGACACCGTGAGGGGATTTGAGGACCCTGAGGGGGTTTGGGGACATTGTGAGGGGATTTGGGGATCCTGAGAGGATTTAGGGACACTTTGAGGGGATTTGAGGACCCTGAGGGGATTTGGGGACACTTTGAAAATATTTGGGGACACTTTTGAGGGGATTTGGGGACGCTGTCACTGAGGGCTTGGGGTCACTCACTGTGAGGCACTGGGGACATTGTCACTGTGAGGGGCCGCTCCGGGGCCATTTCGAGGCCATTCCGGGACCGCTTTGGGGTCGCTTCGGGGCCATTTCGGGTTCGGTTCGTGCCCGCTCCGCTCCCGGCCCCGGGGACTCTATGGCGGCCCCTCCTTCCCCTCACCGCCGGCAAGGGGCGCGCCCCGCGGCGCCGTCCAATCAGGAGCCAGAACACCCGTGATTGACAGGCCGTGCCCTCAGGGAGGAATCGCTTCCACCAATCAGATCGTAGGCGGGAACCAGACTGACCAATGGAAGCTGCTCCCTCTGGGGAGATCAACCAATCAGAAGCGTCGTAGGCGGGGCCTATCGGGAGGCGGGCGGTGGTGCGCGTGCGCGGCCGGCTGAGGCGGGCGGTGAAGCGGCGGCAGCGGCAGCGCCGGGCGGAGGTGGCGGCGATGGAGCCGGGATACGGCGGTAGGTGCTGGCCAGGGCGGCCCCGCGGTACTGACGCTCCCCCGGGGTGGCGGCGGCTCCTTCCCGCCGTTTCCTCAGCACCGGCTCCGTTACCGGCGGGTGGCGGAGGGGGGGAGACTCCGCCGCAGCGGGAAGCGCAGCGCCCGCCCCGCCGTGAGGCGGTGGTGCCGCTGATTGGCTGAGAGCCACGTCAGTCACCGCTAGGGCGGCGCTGATTGGCTGTTGGGGGCTGAGGGACGGGTCGTGCCCCGGGGGGGCGGAAATGGCGCCGGGCCCATTTCTGAAGACGACACAAAATGGCGGCCGCGGCCCCGCCCCCGTTACCTGTGCCTCAGTTTCCCTCGTCCTGTCCCGTCCCAACCGTGGCGACACCCGGGGGGGGGTCTCTTGTCCCCTCCTTGGGGGTCCCGTGTCCCCTTCCCGGGGCTCCTGTGCCCTCTTCAGGGGGATCCCCCTGGAGTGCCCAACTCAGCAGCCCCCTTGGATCGCCCTCTGGATNGGGAAAATTCCTGCCAGGAATGGGAAAAATCCTGCCAGGAATGGAGAAATTCCTTCAGGAATGGGAGAATTCCTGCCAGGAATGGGAAAATTCCTTCAGGAATGGAGAAATTCCTTCTGGAATGGGAGAATTCCTGCCAGGAATTGGGAAATTCCTGCCTGGAATGGGAAAATTCCTGCCAGGAATGGGGAAATTCCTTCAGGAATGGGAAAATTCCTTCAGGAATGGAGAAATTCCTGCCAGGAATGGGAGAATTCCTGTCAGGAATGGGAAAATTCCTTCTGGATTGTGGAAATTCCTTCAGGAATGGGAAAATTCCTTCTGAAATTGGGAAATTCTTGAGAGGAATAGGAAAATTCCTTCTGGAATGGGAGAATTCCTGCCAGGAATGGGGAAAATCCTTCTGAAATTGGGAAATTCCTGCCAGGAATGGGGAAATTCCTTCTGAAATTGGGAAATTCCTTCTGAAATTGGGAAATTCTTGACAGGAATGGGGAAATTCCTGCCAGGAATGGGAAAATTCCTTCTGAAATTGGAAAATTCCTTCTGAAATTGGGAAATTCTTGACAGGAATGGGAGAATTCCTTCAGGAATGGGAGGATTCCTGCCAGGAATGGGAGAAATTCTTTCTGGATTGTGGAAATTCCTTTTAGAGTGGGAAAATTCCTGCCAGGAATGGGAAAATTCCTTCTGAAATTGGGAAATTCTTGACAGGAATGGGGAAAGTTTTGCCAGGAATGGGGAAATTCCTTCAGGAATGGGAGAAATTTCTGCCAGGAATTGGGAAATTCCACCCAGGAATGGACAAGGGATGGAAAAAAATGGAACAATGATGGAAGAAGGGATGGGAAAAACTGGAAATGAGATGGAAAAAATGATGGGAAAGAGACAAAAAAACGGATGGAAAAAAAATGAAAAAAGGCATGCCGGGGTGGGGGAAAGGAAAAAAAGGGGGAAAAGGTGGGGGAAAATGATGGAAAAAGGGGTGGGAAAAGGGATTTGAGGACCCTGTGACAGGATTAGGGGACTCTGAGGGGATTTGGGACCCTGGGGGAATTGGGGGACACTTTGAGGGGATTTGGCGACATTGTGAGGGGATCTGGGGACATTGTGAGGGGATTTGAGGACCTTGAGGGGATTTGGGGACATTGTGAGGGGATTTGAGGACCTTGAGGGGATTTGGGGACATTGTGAGTGGATTTGTGGACACTGTGAGGGGATTTAGGGACACTTTGAGGGGATTTGAGGACCCTGAGAGGATTTAGGGACACTTTGAGGGGATTTGGGGACCCTGAGGGGATTTGTGGACACCGTGAGGGGATTTGAGGACCCTGAGGGGATTTGGGGACACTTTGAGAATATTTGGGGACACTTTTGAGGGGATTTGGGGACGCTGTCACTGAGGGCTTGGGGTCACTCACTGTGAGGGGCCGCTCCGGGGCCATTTCGAGGCCATTCCGGGACCGCTTTGGGGTCGCTTCGGGGCCATTTCGGGTTCGGTTCGTGCCCGCTCCGCTCCCGGCCCCGGGGACTCTATGGCGGCCCCTCCTTCCCCTCACCGCCGGCAAGGGGCGCGCCCCGCGGCGCCGTCCAATCAGGAGCCAGAACACCCGTGATTGACAGGCCGTGCCCTCAGGGAGGAATCGCTTCCACCAATCAGATCGTAGGCGGGAGCCAGACTGACCAATGGGAGCTGCTCGCTCTGGGGAGATCAACCAATCAGACGCGTCGGAGGCGGGGCCTATTGGGAGGCGGGCGGTGGTGCGCGTGCGCGGCCGGCTGAGGCGGGCGGTGAAGCGGCGGCAGCGGCAGCGCCGGGCGGAGGTGGCGGCGATGGAGCCGGGATACGGCGGTAGGTGCTGGCCAGGGCGGCCCCGCGGTACTGACGCTCCCCCGGGGTGGCGGCGGCTCCTTCCCG